TTTAAAAAAAAAAAAAAAAAAAAAAAAAAAAGATGAGAAAGGGTTACTCTGAAGAGTCAAGGGAAGAGTGTGCTGGGCAGCGTGGAACAGGATATGCAAAGGCTCAGAGGTGAGGAGGGGGCTGGCCTGGTGGAAAGCAGGAGACCGCCAAGTTCTGTAGCCCGAGGGCCTCAGATGAGGCTGAAGCCCATGGGGACTCTGAACGGAGAGTTGGGGTGGGGGGTGGGTGGCTCCCTAGGAACAGGATATGCAAAGGCTCAGAGGTGAGGAGGGGGCTGGCCTGGTGGAAAGCAGGAGACCACCAAGTTCTGTAGCCCGAGGGCCTCAGATGAGGCTGAAGCCCATGGGGACTCTGTGAACGGAGAGTTGGGGTGGGGGGTGGGGGGTGGGTGAGGGATCTGTTCTGGAAAACCTGTGGGCTGCCATGTTGAACACGGGGGTGGGGGAACAGGGTCACTGCTGAGAACCCTATGGGGAGAGGGCAGGTTCCAGCTGGACAGAAGACACACCCAGGTGGTTTCTGCAGATGCTATATGGAGACAGCACCTGGTGCAGGTGAGGGGGCCTAAGCCCTTGACCTGGGTGACACAGCACCACTCTAACCATTGAGCTAAGTGGCCAGCCACGTAGCCTGAAAGGGGCAGGATGAGCAAGCGGTCTTTTCAGAGCCCTACAGAGGGTGTGGGAGAAGCAGCAACCAGGGAAGCTGGTGTGAGCCAGACCCAGCCTTGGCATGTGGACATGTGGGGCTGGATCCTCCACGGTGGGGCCGTCCTGGGCACTGTAGGTGCTGAGCAGCGTCCCTGGCCTCCACCCACTCCATGCCAAGAGCATCCCAGTTGTGACAATCACAGATGTCTCCAGACATGCCCAGTGTCCGCTGTGAGAGCCAGTGGTCTCATGGGACATGTCTTGGATAGGGCCTGGAACCCCATCCCTGGAATCACAAAGAAAGTGGTTGGCGAACATCTCTTTACCGGAGAGGCAGGTTCAGCTCAGTGCAGTGGGGGGAGACCCACAGATCCATTCACCACTGACACCGGGGCCTGTGGCTTTGATGGGACTCTCAGGACATGGGCACCCAAGGCTCCCAGCCACCAGGCTGGACAGTCCTTCCGCACCATGTTAAGATGGACAGGACGGGACAGCCCCTCCCCTCTAGCAGGCAGGACGCACAGTTCTGCTTTTTCCCGTTGCTTTATTAGACGTGACTGAGCAGAGGCCGCACACCCCCAGCTGAGTCCTGCTGTGCCCTGAAGACCCCTCCCTCCCACCAGCCACTCCCCCCCACCGCTGCGCCCCACATGGGGGAAAAGACAGAAAAGGAGCCACAGCTGGGGTGGCCGGGGCAAGGCCCCTCAGTAGGTGATCTGGTACACGGAGGCATAGTCACCAGAGCCCGTGAGAATCAGGCGGTTGTTGGAAGACACGTCACAGCACATGACAGAGGTGGTCTCGGGTACCTGGCAGGAGGGTGCATGTGAGGGGCTCGTACACCCCCGTCCTCCCTGCCCATCAGTCTGAGCCTGGTACCCCTGGGGCTCAGACCTCCCTGCACCCCGCCGGCAGCCCAGCGTGTACCTGGAACACCAGTGTCCCCCGGGGCATGCTGTAGACGCTGACCATGTCGTCCATGCCCACGCTCACCCACCACTGCCCTGGGAGGAGACAGAGCACCTGGTTTCAGGGGACACTAGCAACCGAGGGGCTGGGCCACTCAGGCCAGGCAGGCCCAGGAAGCACACCTCTCCCTCCCGTGCCCCTGCAAAAAGCAGCGGCCGCCCCAGGGCTTTGGGGTGTCCACAGGGTCAGGCAGGGAGCCAGCACCGGGTGGGAGTTGATCTGGGTGGGGTCACAGGCCCGCCCCCACCTCCCTCCAGGTGCCACTCACCAGAGGGGGAGAACTTGAGACCGAGGATGGTAAAGTCCTTACGCCCCGCCACGCGCTTTGGGCCACCGCTGGTGTGTTGCAGCCACTGCTGGCCGTCGGCCGAGCCCAACAGCACCCAGTCTTCCCGGGGGCTGTGGGACAGGCTCATGATCTGGGGGGGGCAGGGAGGAGACTGGTTGGGTCCCAGCCTGGCCCAGGAGGCGGGCAGGAGCACAAGGACCCACCCCGGGGCTCTGTCGCCTGACCGCTTCCCAGCTGCGTGGCCCCAGGCAAGCAACTTCACCCGTCTGTGCCTTGGTTTGTAGGTCTGTAAAATGGGCACGGTCCTCCCTCCCTGCTCTATAGGGTTGTCACTGGAGGAGGCCCTAAGCAACGATAGAGGATGCAGTGTGCGACACTGTCTGGGCAGCAGCAGGGTCTTTCCGATGGTCGCCCTGTCCTCGCAGCACCACGGGAGACTCGGGACCACTCCCCTACCCACCCCCGCCCGACTGGCCTCACTCTGTCACCCGAGGACCGGCCGCTGCCTGGCCCCATCACCGCCTCCACACCTGTGACTCGAATTGGTACTCTAGAGGCTCCTTGACCGCCCTCAGGTCCCAGCTCCGCAGACAGGCGTCCAGACCTCCCGCCCAGACGCTGTGGTTTTTGACTGTGAGGCTCTTGGCTCCATTTGGGTGGCTGGTGAGGTCCCTGGTCACAAGAGACACCAGTCAGGACATGGTCTGGCTGAGATTCTTGAGGTTGGCCCCAAGTCACCACTAGCCCAGCTGTCTCCTTCACCCCGTTTCAGTCACTGATGTGTTACATTCTGTGCACTGAGGGGACAGCACTATCACCCCCAAATCCCCATCCTGAAGGAACAGATGTAGGAGCATTGGGTGGAAAACGGGACACAGAATATCCCAGTATCACACATCCCAGGCCTGCCTCAGGGCTCTCCAGCCACCTCACCCAGGTGACCCTGGACCTTCCCGCCCTCAGTCTACCCCAGCTTTGAAGTGGGTCTACGCGAGGTCCGGGGACAGCGGTGGGCGGACGGTGTGTTGCACACTTGCCATCGCCTGGTGGGAACACCGCTATAGATCATTTTACTCTACGATTTCGCCCTTGTAAGAATCCTTTGAGTTTGGGGCTGCCACACCCTGTCAGGGTGGGGAACTGAGGCAGCCAAAATGTCCAGTGACTCAGCTGCAAGGACACAGCCCAGCCAAGACTTGAATCGACGTCCTTGACATTCTGAAGTTCAAGGCAAGGGGTTTCGGCTGAGAGGGCTGGACCCCTGGCTCGGGGTGAGGTAGGAAGGTTTGCACAGGTAATCATGAGATGCTGGAATCAGGACCCCGGCCCCAGCCCACCCCCGGGCCTCACCTGACCACGCTCCGATCCCGCAGGTCCCAGATCCTGACTGTGCCACTGGTGAAGCTGGCAAAGGCCAAGTTGTCCTCGAGGTTGAGGGCCAGGGTCTGGCAGGTGAGACCTTCACAGGGCAGCTCAGTCTTCACATGCACGGAGGGTGCTGCCAGGTCCCACACACTCACGCTGGCCAGGCCGTGGCCACCTGTCAGGAGGGCTCTGCTGTCCGAGGACAGCAGGCAGGTGCGCAGGTAGGCCCCGCGGGTCTGCGTCTGGGATGGGCAGAGTCACCGTGACCTTCCACCCCTGCAGGTGGCTCTCCCGCCTCCCACGTGGCCAGTCCTGCCCCTCACCTGTGCAGGTAGGTGGGTCTCGGGGAGCCTGTCCACGGCCACGTGGCCAGTCAGGCTCCACACCTTGACGCCGCCCCTGCCGCAGGTAAAGGCGTGCTGCGTGAAGCTGCTGACGGCCGTGGCGAGCACGGGCTCCCCGTGTCTTAGCGCCCGCATCTTTTCTATCTTGAGTGGGACTGCCAGCTCCCTGGGTTGCCGGAGCAAGCTATCCGGCCTCTGCCAGTCGTCTTCGAAGTCCTCGGAGTCCCAGGATCTTGAGAGGGGAGGCCTCGGAGTCACTGGCCTGCTGTGAGCCCCACATCCCCTCGATGTCCCCCCAACACAAATATTCTTCCCTCTGCCTTATCCGTATAGTTCTCCCTTCTGCCTAGAATGCTTTGCCCTGAAGGAAAACTCCTATTCATCCTCTGGGATCCTAACGATTATGCCCCTTCCCCCAGGAGGGCTTCTCCCCCCCGTCTGGGCTCTCCCAGCCACTGCCCTCACCCTCCACAGGGGGTTCTTCTCCCAATCTCTCGAACCCAGGGTTGGTTATGTGGAGTAGTGGCAGTGGGGTTCGTGTGAACATAACGTCACGACCCAGACCGCACAGCTCCAGTGAGAGGATGGCATAGCGCTGATGGGAAAGAGACAAACCTGGTCCCCGCCACCTGCTGGGGAGGACCAGACACACATAGGAAGGGGATTCTCTGACCCACCCTGCAGACACTTACATGGGCTTCAGAGACGGACGGACTCGTCCAGCAGGCTCCGACTCCTGCAAGGGGGGTGAGATCTCAGCTGCCCACCCACCTGTGTCCATCTCGCCCCGCCCCGGCAGGCTTTACAGGGCAGTGCCAGCTCAGGCCCGGGTTTCTCTCACCTGGACCGTGTGTGGAATCGTGCTCCCTTTTTGGGAACCCTCAGGGGAGCTGGAGGCAGTCTCAGGCAGGCTGGGGACTAGGCCAGGACAACAGGGGCTGAGCAGCTTGCATCGGGACCCTAAGGGCAGGCTGTCCCCTCCCCTCCCCCTCCCCTCCTTCCCCCTGGAGTCAGTCCCCTCTCACTGGAAGAACTCAGGGTATCTTCAGGATATGTCTCTGCTCCCGAGTCTGATCCTGGAGGCTTGTTTTCCTGCCCACGGGAAATGGAAGAATCTGGTCACACCAGCTGACCTGCCCAGGGTCTGAGAACCAGAAAACCCCAGGGATGCCCAGGCAGAGTTGCAGAGACTCAGGGCATAGTCCGGGCTGCAGACAGTGAGCTGCTCTGCTGTCTCCCGAGTCCTCCTGCGGCATCCGTGGGCAAGAGCGGATGGAGATGGAGGGATCCCACGGGAGTCGGACGCCCTGACCCAGGATGGGGAGGCCCGGCCAGGACAACTGCCCCGCCCGAGACCCCACCCCCGCTGGGTCCAGACAATGTGTATTGACTTACCAGGCCCGGTGCCTGCTCCGTCACTATAACAGGAAGGGAGGGGGAGACATAACAGCAGGGTTCGTGTGCTTCCCCTGGCCACAGCCCACGGCCGCCCCCGGACCCCACCCCATGGCAGACTTACCTCTGTGTCTGCATCTCGGCTCCTCCACCTTAGTGTGGTCACCAGCGTAAACCTCCCAGAGGTGCTCGGTCAGGACATCTTGCCAAAACTGGGGCTCCTCGTCCCAGCCAAACAGCTCGGTCTCTAGCTGGTCATCCACTGCGATGGGTGGCTGGAGCCAGTCAGATGACCTCGCGGTCACGTTTTCAAAGGTTGACTCCTGTGGGGTCTTAACCGCCACGTGCTGGGGTGACTCAGGACTGGCTGGTTCTTGACTGTCCTGGTGGGCTTGTTTGCCAGGTGAGGCCTGGCCCACTTGGCACTGCAGGGACATGGTCATGAGACAAGGACATGCACCTCACCCCAACCTGTCCCCCTTCCCTTCTTGAGGAAGCCTACCTCCATGGACTTGACGCTTGGGAGCTGGCTGCCGGTTTCTATGACGTGGACAAAGTTTTCTACCTAGAGGGACATTTGCAGGATAATTCAACATTATCTCACTTAAAGGTCTAATCTCAGCAAGGCATTTCCCCATCTGTAGAATGGGCACACATCGCCTGACTCGAAAGGGAGGTTTGGGGGAGGATTAGAGATAAAGCGAAGCCCTCAGTACAGAAAGCAAGTTCTCAGTATGCAGAAGCCAGCCTCCGCAGTCTAGTCCTGGGGCTGGCCAGTTAGCTCACTTGGATAGTGTGGTATTGGGTGGTATTGTTAACACCAAGGTCAAGGGTTCAAATCCCAGCACAAGTTGGGAAAAAAAAAAACACAAAAACCTAATCATAATGGGCCAGTCACCATCATAATATAGTAGAAAGTAGTCAGATCTGGGTTGAAATCTCAGCTGCTTTTTGGGATATTTCAAAATGGCTTCAAGTAGCAAGAACGTATACAGATGTCCCCCTGTGTGATAAAGGTATTTTAATTTGCTTAAACTTTGGAAAGATACTAAGAAACCAGTGGTTACCCATAGGGGAGAAAAGATGGCATAGGACAATTGGGGCACAGTGGGAGGGGCCCTTTATGATATTATTTAGGAAAGCTACATGGTCTGAGTCCAAAATTAAAAAACTGTTTCCCAAAACAAAAAATATGTAAGTGTTGTCATCAGAAACATTTTTACTCTGTGCTCCTATGAGGGTCATCTAAGAGGGGTGGATCTGAAAGTGTGCCTTTCTCCTTCCCAGCAGCATATGGAACTCATTCCTCTCTTGAGTACATGTGGGAGAGGTCAAGTTGGACATCAACTTTAGTAGCCTCAAGAGGAGATAGCACAGCTCAAGATACAGGTAGCAGTGGTAGGAAAGCCACATAGGCATTCCTTTTTATTGGAGCTGCAATCAGAGGACCAAATTCTGTCTGCAAATATATTAGTGCTAACTACACTTTTAGTAGTGTTCAACATAGCTGCAATATGACTATCCTAACAATGCATGTTTGTTCATCAAGATTCAAAATCCATTCTCATCTTTACAAGAAATTTACTATTACATTCATCAATTTTTTAAAAAAGGATGATTCTTTAAATATAATTTCAACTGTCACATATTTTTGAGCAGTTATAAAAATATTCTGACTTTTTTTATTATCTACTTATATGAACATTTCTCACCAATGGTAATGATCAAGAATTTGAACTTGGGTGAACCTTTCTCAGCAATGGTAATGATCATATATAATTAGAAAGAAAGTGAATCAATTTCAAACAAAAAATCTGACATTAGAAAAGTCAGCTTAGGCTAGCCAGTTAGCTTGTTTTTAGAGCATGCTGCTGGTAATAACAAGGTCAAGGGTTCGGATCCCTTTAATGGCCAGTCACACCCCCCAAAAAGGTGACTTATGTACATACATAAATAACCTAGACCAGTCACTAACCGGTAAGTATAACTGGAGTCACACACATACTTAAATGTTCTAGTAGTCACATTAAAAGTATGAAGAAATTGGTTGCATTAATTCTAAGTGTATTTAATTGAAAACATATCTAAAATATTTCAATGTGTAACTCACATGAAAAGACTGAGCTTAATTTTCATTCTTTCTGTGGCTGTGCAGTCTTCGAAGCTGAGTGTGTAATGTACCCCACAGCGTATTGTGATTTGGATCAGCCCGTCTCAAGTGTTTGCATGGCCATGGTATTGGTATTGGATGTTGCGGGCCTTCAGCTGTGCAAGAGACTTAGGGACCTGATCGCTGTTTTTTTCCATGCACATGGGCTGCTCTGCCCGGCTGTTCCTTTGGTGCCACATGCTTCTTCCTTACCACAGGACCTTTGCACATGCTGTTAATGTGCCCAGTACAGCCCCATTCCCACCTCCTTCAGCCTAGCTCCTTGTCCTTCAGTTTGCTTCCTTGGGAAAACTGCCCGGACCTCATGAGGCCCCCTCCCCAACTTTGGATTTTCCTACGTCAGGTACCGTCTCTTGAGAACCCTAATTGGACATTTATTCATGGGATTGACACATACTTGGGAGGGCAGGTTCCCAAAGGCCTTACCTCCTCCTCCTCTCCCCTTTACCCCAGCTATCCTAGTCTCACACACCACGCACAATGCCTCATCAGGGCCTTTGAATTGGCTCTCTTTCTAGAACATTCTTTCCCTTCCTCATATTCATACGGCTCCTTCCTTCACTTTTGGGACTTTACTCAAATGCCACTTTCTCAGCAGGTCCTTCTCAAACCTACTGAAATGCTCCCCTGCTATCCCCAGGCACTTTCTATAGCACTTACCCGATGCATGTAACCTCTCCATGGACCGTGCTGTTTCTGCACAGCAGCTACAAGCTACAGAAGGCTATTTCAACATAAAGCTTGATAAAATGAACCATGCAATCCCCCAGCCCCACAGCCACACTTCAGGTACTCAACAGTCAGTCACGAGGGGATAGCAGCTGCCGTAGTGGACGATGCAAGCAGAGAATGTCACTGCAAGGAGTTCTACCCACCAGCACAGCACCCAGCACACCGAAGCCTGGAGCACACAGGCTGCAAATGGCAGGAGCCGGATATTTGAACAAGCAATAAACTCAGGGAAGGGGATTCTCTTGAGCCAGTTTTCTCATCTGAAAACTGGGGGTAGGGCTGGCTGGTTAGCTCACTCTGTTAGAGTGTGGTGCTGATAACACCAAGATCAAGGGTTCAGATCCACTTACCTGCCAGCTGCCAAATTGATTAAAAATAAGAAAAGGGGGATAAATCACATCCCTCCCCTGCTTTCAGTACCATTCTGAAGACTAACAAGTTTTTTTTTTTGAGGGCTCCTGGCACCAAGAACTCCCCAGAATTACCTGGGTCTGTCTTTATTTTTTTGGCAGCTTGCCAGTACAGGGATATCAAATCCTGGACCTTAGTGCTATAACCAACGTCTAACCAACTGAGAACAGCCAGACCGTAGAATGTTCTGATCCCTGAAGATCATTAATAAAGAAAGGAAGCCTTAGTGCTAACCTCAGTCAGTTTTCTATTTAACATGTATTCCCATTTTGCAGATTGGGAACATTGAGGTCCAGAGAATCAAAGCCACTTTGCCAAAGGCCGGGAGAAACGGGGAAGCCAAACAGTGTTTTATCTGCCTAGCCCCTCCCCTGCTTGTCTGGAGAGTGGAGGGAGGGGCTCGGACGCTCCATCTGAGCCCTCAACCTGGAGGCTGCCTCCTAGACCGGTCGGTGATGAATCCCAGCCTCCCAGCCGAGCCAGCCCAGCCGCACAAAACCCAGGGGAGCCCTCTCCAATTCACCCTGGCTCGTTAATGCGCAATTTACCGGCTCTTTAATGCGCTCAGCATGAAAAGTAAGGCTCCCCTCTGCCGGCTGGCGGGTCCTCCCAGGGGAGGGTTGCGAGCAGGCGGGCTGCGTGGAGAAGCTGCTGCTGCTTGGGATTTTAGAAGCACAGGAAGGAGGCTGGGAAAACCAGGAGCTGGAGGTGGAAGGGAAGAGGGCTGGCCAGGACCACATGCCAGGCTTGGCTGGTAGGAATCAGGGGGCCTCCTGCAGTGGGGGCTCCGTGGGGACCCTCCTGGGTTGAGCAGCCACAAAAGTGGCTCATCTGGGGTCTCTCACCCCCCACACATCCACAACTCCACTACTTCTTACCACTAAGCAATGGCATCTGTAGCCTTAACTATGAACCTGAACTATCCAAACTGGTCTCCTGGCTCCTGCCCTCATCTCCCACCTTCCCTGTCTGTCCCCACCACAGCAGCCAGAGGGCGCCTGTGAGCACTGGAGTCAGGTCCTTTCCTGCCCACTCCCCACCTCCACCCACAGCCCTCTGTAGCTCCCGCCTCCCTCAGGTGAACAGCCTGAGTCCTCCCTGCAGCCCACAGGCCCTAACCGCACAACCTAACCCGCCCACCCCTCCTAGGCCCTGCACAACCTAACCCGCCCTCCCCTCCTCCTCTGCTCCAGCCACACAGGGCTCCTCCCTGATTCTCCCACACGCCAGGCTCGGTCCTGCCCCAGGACTTTTGCAAGTGCTGTGCCCTGTGTGGAACATCCTTCCTGTCCCAGACATCCACACCTCCTCTGATCTCCTTCAAGCATTGGCTCACAGGTCACCTTCTCAGCAAGGCTTCCCTGACCACACTAACTTGCAAGCCCTGCTCACCCTGGTTCCCCAATCCCCGTGGGGCTGCTCTATTCTTCGCCCAGCCCTCACCACCTAACACACTGTTTACCAGGCTCCCCTCACCCCAAGTGCAGGGAAGCTTGTCTGTGTTCTCTATTTCCCTGGCATCTACAGCAGTCTTTGGCAAGCAGGAATGGATAAGTATCTACTGAATGAATAACGGTGTTCTGGCTGTTTCCTGGCCCCCCTTACCCTGCTTGCTGAGCTGTCCACCCCAGGCCCTGCTAAGCTGCAGACACGGCCCTGGCCCTCTGCCAGTCACAGCTGGCAGAAGCAGAAGGTCCTGCCAGCACCAGGGAGAAAGAGGCCAGGTGGCAGGAGGACAGGCAGGCATAGAAGACGCACGTCAGCTTGGGCCAGTGCCCTGGCCTGGCAGCTGGGAGCCTGGGCCCCCCGTGCAGACCTGCCCCCGGCTCACACGTGATCTGGGGCCTTGACAACTCTCAGACACAAGGAAGATCGCAACCCGGTGCCTGGCACACCATAGGCCCTTCCTATCTGAAGCCACTGACCTGCAGGGACCCAGGAAGGACTGGACCCACCTCATTTCCTGAGGAGGCTCAGAGAAAGGATGGAGGTGTGCTTCCAAGATGTGGAGGATCCACTATTATCATGGGGTTCAGGGGTTCCAAGTCCTGTCCCTCCTCTGCCCACAGCCCTCCATGGCTCCCACCTCCCTGGGAGGTAAAGCCCAAGTCCTCCCTGAGGCCCACAATGCCCTGTCCCCTCCCTGCCCTCACAAATGCCTTCTAGGGAAGGGCAGCCATACCCTTGAACTCACCAGCCTGTGATGCTCCTGTAGATCGTGCAGGACCTTCTGGAGCTGCAATGGAACCACAGGAGTCACACTGGGAAGTGGGCCCTGAGAGCAGGTAAGGGTCAGGGTTTGAGGGCTGCATGCTTACCCCCGGCTGCGTGACCCCAGGGAAGTTACTCTACCTCTCTGGTCCCTTTTTTTTTTTTTTTTTTTTGTAGCTGGCCTGTACTGGGATTGAATCCTGAATTTTGGTGTTAACACTGTGCTCTAACCATCCAGCCCTCTACTCTTAAAAATTTTTTTTTTTTTTTTAAACACATTTTTATCCCCGCCACCTCCCACTTTTAGTCTTTGTGAATCTTATTTCTCTATTTACTTGTCTCTCCTCCCCCAAGAGCTGCCCCGTCCAGTGAGGTCACTAGTGCAGTGTGCCTGTTTAAATTAAGTTAGAAATTCAGTTCCTTAGTTGCACCGGCTGCATTGGCAAGTGCTGAACAGCCTCAGGTGGCTAGTGGGTGCAGTTTTGGATGCTGTAGATACAGAACATCCTGGAAAGTTCTGGAAGACAGTACATTAGAGTGGGTGGGGGCTGAAGTCACCTGCTGTATCCCTAAACCACCAACTGTGGCTCCTAATTACTAACTGTGGCTCCTAATTACTAAAGTAAACACCTACTTTAAATGCACAATTTCTAGTTTCCGCAGCAAAGGTAGTACTAATGGAGAAAAAAACTCCCAAACTCCCATGAAGCAGCTTGGCTTAATGGGTTCAGTCGCTTGCCCAAAGTAAGCCAAAATAAGAGGAAGGGGTGTCTCCCCCCACCCCCTCCCAGGCCCCCGAGCACTTCTGTGACGCTCAGTAGGAAAGGCCCAGGGACTCCTTCTGTGGCTTGTCACAGCTTGTTCCACCCTTGGTAGGGGCTGTCCCGTCTGGCTCACCAAGTGGTAAATGTCCTCCAACTGAGCGGTCAAATGAAGGGGAAACCTAAGGGAAAGAAACAGAGGCTGAAAGACACACGACGTCAGGACCCCTCATCTGAGTGAGCGCCTCCCTCTACCCCAGGGCTTCAGGGATACAATTTAAGATGGTGTCAAAAAGCTCAATGAGAAAAACTAAAAAAAAAAGAAAAGAAACATTTATGCTGAAGAAGAAAAATCTTTCTTCATTTAAATCCCTTTTAAATAAAAGCTGGGATCGGTACTACCGGGTTCTCCTTTTGATTGAAGCTCAGTATGACTTTTCTGTTACTGATCTTGTGTTTTGGGCCAAGGGCTTCTGGATCACCCACCTGGGCTCCTAAGAGAGGGATCGCGACACTCTGGAATTGCCCTCACCTGGGGAACTGCTTTAGGAGCTGATCCCGGGTATCCTGATCATTCAGGGCTGGAGAACTCTTAGACACTCCAGGACAAAGCTGGAAAGGTCATAGGAGGGATATTTAAAACCCACCTGCCTCCCAAACATCCAAGCCCCCAGGTTTCCTTCCCATCCAGAGATTAGATACAACCTGAAACCCTCGGGGATGTAACCAGCCTTGTATGGGGTAGGGAGGGGCCCCTTAAAACCTGGTGTGGGATGGGATCTTGACCCTTGACCTTGATTTTATCAGCACCACACTCTAACCCATGAGCCAACTGGCCAGCCCTCTCTTGTTATTTAAGTATCTAAGGAGTATCTTCCATTTCCCACCTTGGCGTAGCATCTGTAATATTCACCATCTATCTGGCCTCTTACAGAAAGTTTGCCCATCCCTGGCCTAAACTGCAAGAAGGGGAAGTAGCCTCTGCAGGAGGGGGTAGGGTTGTAAAATATTAACGGAATAAATGGTGTGTCCAGGTGTTGTATCGCCTGCGTGACTGGAAGTAAGCTTAATCTTAAAAAGTAACCTTAATTTTCAAAAGCCTTTCCACCTGCCCCTCGGTATGGCAGTGATGGATTATTGCCTGCAGCTGCAAGGCCTGGCCTGCAACTCTACACGTCAGTATGACTTTTCTGTTACTGATCTTGTGTTTTGGGCCAAGGGCTTCTGGATCACCCACCTGGGCTCCTAAGAGAGGGATCGCGACACTCTGGAATTGCCCTCACCTGGGGAACTGCTTTAGGAGCTGATCCCGGGTATCCTGATCATTCAGGGCTGGAGAACTCTTAGACACTCCAGGACAAAGCTGGAAAGGTCATAGGAGGGATATTTAAAACCCACCTGCCTCCCAAACATCCAAGCCCCCAGGTTTCCTTCCCATCCAGAGATTAGATACAACCTGAAACCCTCGGGGATGTAACCAGCCTTGTATGGGGTAGGGAGGGGCCCCTTAAAACCTGGTGTGGGATGGGATCTTGACCCTTGACCTTGATTTTATCAGCACCACACTCTAACCCATGAGCCAACTGGCCAGCCCTCTCTTGTTATTTAAGTATCTAAGGAGTATCTTCCATTTCCCACCTTGGCGTAGCATCTGTAATATTCACCATCTATCTGGCCTCTTACAGAAAGTTTGCCCATCCCTGGCCTAAACTGCAAGAAGGGGAAGTAGCCTCTGCAGGAGGGGGTAGGGTTGTAAAATATTAACAGAATAAATGGTGTGTCCAGGTGTTGTATCGCCTGCGTGACTGGAAGTAAGCTTAATCTTAAAAAGTAACCTTAATTTTCAAAAGCCTTTCCACCTGCCCCTCGGTATGGCAGTGATGGATTATTGCCTGCAGCTGCAAGGCCTGGCCTGCAACTCTACACGTGGATACAGGTGACTGAGCTCCCTGGGGGCAAAAGCCATACCACGCCTTCCTCCTCACCGAAGTTTCTTTGAGGGTGCCCCTGAGGCTGGGCTGGCCCAGAGAGGTCATCTTCGGGCTGTAGCCTCCAGGACTTTAGCCAAAGACTCTAAAAGTTAACAAGGAGATGGCAGGTCCTGAGGGTAGAAGGCAGGGCAGTGCCAGCGANGAATAAATGGTGTGTCCAGGTGTTGTATCGCCTGCGTGACTGGAAGTAAGCTTAATCTTAAAAAGTAACCTTAATTTTCAAAAGCCTTTCCACCTGCCCCTCGGTATGGCAGTGATGGATTATTGCCTGCAGCTGCAAGGCCTGGCCTGCAACTCTACACGTGGATACAGGTGACTGAGCTCCCTGGGGGCAAAAGCCATACCACGCCTTCCTCCTCACCGAAGTTTCTTTGAGGGTGCCCCTGAGGCTGGGCTGGCCCAGAGAGGTCATCTTCGGGCTGTAGCCTCCAGGACTTTAGCCAAAGACTCTAAAAGTTAACAAGGAGATGGCAGGTCCTGAGGGTAGAAGGCAGGGCAGTGCCAGCGAAAGACGCAACCCCTCTCCACCACCCAAGTTGGCATCCCTCCTGGGAGGCTCCCGCCCACCGTCCCTGACTGCCAGCACCCCACTGCATTGCCTACATCCCAAATGCATCCATCGTGCCTCCAGCTACCCTGATAAGAGGTGGGGACCCACAAAGGACTGAGTCTTACAGGCCTCACCCAGTGGGCTGGAGGAGCCCAGAGAAGGTCGCCAAAGCTCAACCTTCATTTTGAGACAATTCCTAAAGCACGGGNGGAGCCCAGAGAAGGTCGCCAAAGCTCAACCTTCATTTTGAGACAATTCCTAAAGCACGGGGAGATCATCATGGGAAAGGGGTTTTGAGGGACGAGTAAGAGTTCGCCAGGTGCATTCGGTGGAATTGAGCAGAAAGGACAAAAGAGAGCTCTCCACGCCAGTCACTCCTGCGGCACCAGGATCTCTGCACCTCACTTCTGCCCTTCGACGCCCCTCCAGCGTCCTCCCCAGCCCGGACACCCTGCAGGGCTTTCACCTCCAGGAAATACAGCTGCCAACTCACCTACCTAAGGACGGAGGAGAAAGGAAGAAGCTACGAAGGTCAGCCAAGTTCAGGCCAAGAAGAAGCACCTCCTGTCCCGACCAGGGCCATTTGACCCGCCGGGCCCCGCCCCCTGGACCCCGAAGCTGCTCAAAAGCTGCTCAATGAAGGAGCCGCAGCTGCACGTGGGCCCGTGGGCTTGGGCTCTGTCGGCCGTCGCTGATTGGCCCGCTCGCCAAGGCCTCTGGCCCACAGTCAGTGAGCCCCGAGCCTTCGCTTAACCCTTGCGGTCCCGCTGCCGGGAAGGGCGCCGTGCAGAGAGAGCCTCAGGTAGTTTGGGGTTCAGGCAGGGGCGGGGATATTTGGGAGGGCGTGGGATTTGGGGGTCTGAGGACGGAACTTGGGCAGGAGATGGGAGGCGAGAAGTTGCATTGTTTGGTGAGAAGTCTGATTATTTTTAACTTTGCCCAGGCTGGGGGTGGGGATCTTTAGTGCTTAGATATGGACTAATTACGTTTTCATCAATATTAAATCCAGTGCAATGCAAACGAAGCTTCAAGCCCACTTATTGGAGAGAATCAATAGCTCCCCTTGATGCAGCGTTTCCTGTAAGCCAGGCCCCAGGCTAAGCGTTTTATCAGCGAATTTTATTTTCCCAACTGTCCTCCCAGCTCAGTGACAAAGGATCTGAGAACCCAAAGCGGGAACAGCAAAGGCCCTGAGGCTGGTGTAGCGTGACCAGGTTCAAGGCCAGGGTGGGGAAGAGTGGTGGATTTGTTACTGAGATACAGAAACCTCCCGAGTGGAGACGGGTGGGGTCGTGGGGGCGGGTACAGGGAGCACGGAGTTGTTTGGGCCTGGTTGGAAATGCTTATTTGAAATATGAAGTGGTG